TTATGAGCAATTCGCGCAGGCCTATCGACACATGTCAGCCAGGTGCCTCTGCAATGCTCCAATTTGCAGGAGAGAGGTCAGCTAGTGAGCTCACTCAAAACTAGCTCGATTCGAGAGCTTCCGGTGGTGCTGGAAGCCTTTACCATGGGTGGAATCAAAGCTTGTATGGCCTATAAAAAGAACAGACGGGCTATCAACACAACACATTACTTGGATGTCGGATACTTCCGGTGACGCACCTTGTCAACTACCCGGGCACTGAAAGCGTCGTCACGCTCAAAGACGTGAGCTCCAACAAAAGTAAATATGGGCATCATACTTTGACATGTGAGCTCAGGACAGAGACGAGCCAAGTCGGCAAGTAAGAGTATAATCTTATGGGAGATGTGGGGATCCGGAGAAACTGCAAACGCGTTCATCAGCATAGTTCTTTCTTTACGTCTCACGATGTGAACCAAGCTTCAAGAATAGTGAAATAGTGACAAACCGCTCAAATAGTCCACGATGGAAGATAGCGGCAAGCCATCGGATTTAAATTCGGTCTCCTGATTTTTCAAGTTAGCACTGATCATCTGGTGGAAGAAGGTGAAGGCAGATATCAAACAACGTACATCCAATGCGGGAACGAGAATTGCCAAGTATGAAATAAGCAACTGGGTAGAGAAGTGAATGTCGACTTCATGGGAAGCATGTACAACCAACAGGCTCGCTAAGGTATCTAAGAATGTCTTGAATAATTGGAAGGTATGGTTGAGCTTTTCCATAGAAATTGATTCCAATAATGTAACCAATTCAGAAAGGTTGGGTGCCCCGTCGGTGACTTGGCCAACAGGACTGATTGTAAAAGGAAGGGTTATCAAAGAGATGCTTCTGAAGGTTGTTTGGGAATAAGAAGAAAATGCGGAAGGAGACGAACCCTTTGCCGGTTTTGGTCTTCTTGTTGGATCGCACTTTATTCACAGAAATCTCTCGGGATATTGTGGATAAAGCTACAATCAAGGAATCGGTATCGAACAACAAGGAACGAAGAGAAGTGAGGTAAAAGCTGACATCATCCTGTGTTCAACAAGTGATGAAATGGTTGTGAGAGACGGAAATCAAAAACTGAAACCGTTGTTTTAAGGGATAGGGCGCAATGAACTTACTCGGGGCGATGAAGCCAATGCCAGAATTTTTCTGAGAATGGTTTGCTTTTGCGAAGCCGACAAAGCGACAAACAAGCCGCTTTGTAATTTATTTTTGGCAGCTCCGCGGATGGCGACTTGAGCATCTGTGTGGTTGATTTGATGATCAGTGAGCCAACCTTTTGAATTGATTTCGCTTGATGATGAAGATGATGGATAACATAAGAGCCTACCGTTAGTTGGAGAGCAGCACAGGGCATTAACCAGCGCGTTGAAAGCAGCAGGATCCTTCCCAGATGCAAAACCTTTACCCGGATAGTCATAAGTCTGGAATAAAATTGTCGCGTATTCCGCCAAAGCTTCTTTGGAGGGGTGGTTATCCATGAAGGAATTATCTGCCATGGTGGACATTTGATCAATCAGAGGGGCAACCGATTTCATTCGAGCCGGGTCGTTCACATTCCTGATACATTTGAGTAGGTTGACGCGTCCTTCGAAATCGTTCCAACAATCGATGACCTTCATGAAGAAACACATGATTCTGTGCTTCAGACCTTCAGCCTTTTTACGATTGGATACCTCGGTAGGTGGATCCTGCAGGTTTTTTAGTACAGACCTCACTTGACTGAGTCCATCTGACAACATCTCAGTCTTCGACTGATTTAGCAGAGCGATCAACTGGGTGGAGTCATGAATTGACAGATATTGAAGGTCAACACTTGCTTCACTTCCGTAGAACCGATCATATGCATAAATAGATTGCTCAGGACTTAAGCCCTGAGTCTTCTGGGGTAAGTCAACCGAATTCAAATAGGTATTGAGGGTCGAAATCAGTGAGAGGGCAGCCGAGCGAACATTTTTACTGGGATCGATGAGCGCAATGATCATACTGGGAATGAGGATCTGGTAATCCATAGGTTTGGCTTCGGCAGAGTTCTGGCAGCGAGCCATTGAAGCTTTGATCTCCGCTTCCGCGTCAAGAAGAGCCACAAGACGGAATGATTCATTGAAGACGGATGAAGTCCAAACTCGAGCGAGGAAGGTCAGGTATTCTTGCTTGAGGATATCTCGGCGTAGTGCGGTAAAAATCATTTTGGCCAAGGAGTCTTGAGTGGTATGCGAGCCCGAATGACCCAAGCAATAAAGCTTGAAGTAGAAAGTGGCAAGGTCTGGAGATTGCAGGACGATCGAGGTTGAAGATATAGGGTCCATGACTTTTAAGATCCCCGACTCAAACCAACAATACTCGCGATGCTTAAGCTTATGAGCTCCGGTAGCAGCCCTGGTAAGAATGGAGGCCGTGAGTCGACTAAAAAGCTTTTCTGAGCTTGGCTTCGAGTAAAACAGTTCTGACACTGATTGATCAGTGCCGATCTCTGCCATATCCATGTTGACCCATCGACTGAAGCCACTTGGGTTCGATTGGTTAGTCATGTAGTCGATCAAGGTGCTCATCAACGCCGCCACTGCGCATCCAGACAATTGCGGTGCAATTCTCCAGAATAAGAGCAATGGGACCAGTTTAGTAGTCGGGGATGTCACTTTAATATCCTTTCCCAGCCTTTGAAGCAGGTCGGCCACAGCGGAATCACCCTTTTTCAAGACGTTCTGACCAATCCCATCGAGTAAGCTTTCGTTGGCGGTGATACGGGATTCGGGGCTATCTTCGGGCGCGCTTGCGGGCCATACTCCTTCAAGAATGGTTCCTTTCCATAGGTTTTGGGAGTGTTGGTGGGTCCAAAATACGGATGTCGCCTTGGCACTACTTTTCGTCCAAAACAACTTTGCCAGGAGGATTTCCTCCGAGATACGGCTAGCCAGATCGGGATAGTGTTCTAGAAGAGGTCCCATGAGGAATGAGATCCAGTGTTTCAAAGTAGACCGTGGAGTTTGGTGAGAACTGAGGATAGAAGTGGCAGCGTTCATGATTTCGTTAATTTGGACAGTCTTCAGCACGACCTGTGGAAATGATAGGAGGAGCTCCGAAGTGGCGGGGTCAGGATCGTTGAGAGCAGTTTTGAGCGCGGAAGCCATCGAGTGTGACGAGCAGTGGGTGCCATCCAACGGGCTGGCCTTCATCTGTTCCATAATTGACTTGAGCGAATTTTGCCTCACGATAGCACTTGAACTACGTAGTCCAACAACTGAAGGATCGGACTGTTCCGCGGTGAGCAGAGGGTCGCCCGAGAGGACACGAAGAATCCTTGGAATGGATTCTTTGACATTTTCTTCGTTTGACAAGATGAGGTTCCGAGAGATCTGCTCGACCAGATTGGGGTGGCGTTGGAACAAAATTCCAAGAGGGCGTAGCACGGATCGGTGAGGTACTTCCATAGGAATTATTGACGAGAGCATCTCCGTAATGAATATTTCAATCAGTCTACTAGGGAGGTTGAAAAGTTGGGCAAGCTTTACAAGAAACTCCTCTGCAATGACTTCATTCTTCAAGGTACTTTTAATGAGTGATTGAACAAAACTCTTCCAAAACGCTGATACGTCATAAGTTCCACACACTGATAATAATAATTCGTCAATCTTGAAGAGTTTAGTCAGGGCGTGACAAGACTTGCTGGATAATCGAATTTCGCTTTCCTCAGTGTGGTTTTGAAAAATGACTATTAAAGTTTGCATCATGGCCTCATCATGTTCTCTCCAAGCTGAACTACCGATCAAGGAAGGGTCGACGGAGTCCGTACTTGGATGTCCCTCAATTACATATTTCGTGAGATTTTGGAGTACAGCCCGAGGCAGGGGCGATAAGCGAGCCAGGGCGGAAATGATGATAAGGTGGGTAATTCTCGCGTCGAGTTGGGCGCTTTGGACTCCATCCACCAAGACGGGCAGAAGGTTGACCAGGATTGGTTGAGGAAAAGCTTGTTGCGAGGCGAGCTGCGGAGATAAGCCTTTGAATAATCCCAGGAATGTGTGAAGGTGAAAGCCTAGCAATGCTTGATGGGCTGGGCCATATTTGGTAACTGAGGATAAGATTCCAGTTACGTATCGAAGGAGCTCGGTCGAGTTGAGCATGGCATCAACGAGAAGTTTTGGAGGTAAACCAGTGCGTGACTTTTGGACGGAACGAAGAAATTGAAGATGAGGATGAGAGTCGAGGCGAATAATGTTGAGCATGGCCAAAAATTGGGGGGTGTCATGGTAAGGTAAGAAGACGGCCACCAAAGCTAAGACGTCAAACTCGTGAATCCTAATAAAAGTGGCAAGGGATTGTGGTGAGTTTAAGGGAGAGACGTGTTAAACGTTGAAAGAAGTTTGCTTACCGGAACCTTCTGACGAGCCATTCGAGTACATGTGCGCTGGGTTTGCTCAATAGGTAAGGGGAGAGGAAAATGAGGAATTCTTCAATGGTTGTTGTCAATATTTTAGCCTCACCGGGTTCCAGGAGAGTTCTGTCGATGCGTTTTGAGGCCTCGCCAAACAGAGGCTGGTTGTATTTCTGGAAAGCACGCTCATAGAGTGAGATCTGCTGGAATCCATGGACGCCAATTTGATGAACTTGATCTAGCGTAAGCTTGGCAGCCTGCGAGGGTGAGTAAATGTATGAGTCCCGACGTGCGAGATTCTTGAGTCTCCCCGTTTCAGGATTGGATTGAGCAAGTGCGGCAAGTTGCGTTTTGAGTGAAACCATGCTGGTGATGACGACGATTCCTGATTTACGATAAACTGACTGCCAGATTCTTCAGTTGATCCAGATCGTCGAGGGAAAAGTGTGGCGACTCTTTCGAAGTGGCAAACACTGCTGAAGAAATTTACAGTCAGGCAGTGCTGCGCAGCGTGTGGGTTCATGCTGCGGAAAGATGCCGATATGCATAACAGGAAGGATGACGGGATCAAGGCCTGCACTAAGTGGCCAACCTTCGTGGTCCGGTGGTGTAGTTGGTTATCACACTCGCTTCACAGCGCATGTCATGATTACATGACGTAGGACTCGCGAGAGGTCATGAGTTCGAGCCTCGTCCGGATCATTTTTTGCCGTATTTCTCGGCTATGTCTGCCTTCATGTCGCAGTTTACATTCCTGCGAGGCTACACATTGTGTGTACAAGACCCTAACCCTCATACTCTTTTTCTTGCTAATTTTTGTATATTATCAAATTACTTTTTTTTACATATGACTCTACAGAGCTTCTGCCCAACTTTTCCTCCTCATGGCTGTCAAAATTTCACCCAGTCCAGCATTAATGAAAAAATATTTGCTCACACAAATTTACTACTTACTATTGATAGCTTCAATTGTGTGCATATAGCAAACATGATTTAATTTCTCTATGATTATTTTGCAGGTTTGCTTATCACAAGCCTGACCCATTAAACATTTCACCAGGGCTTTTTCCGTGGCACTTGCATGCAAGTGCTATCACTTCACTTTCTTGAATAACCTAACTTCTGTGATGTGTCATACGCTGAATCATCCTAATCAAACAAAGTGTTGAGCCTAACCAAAAGGCTATGAGACTGGCTGAAATGTCCAGTCCAATTAGGATGTTACAGTGTCACATACCACCCTGTGACAGCAAGATGACACTATAATGGCATCATTTGATGTAATAATGGTGCAATACACCAAAGGCTCCCTTGTAGCTTCCTGGGATCCTCTAAATTATAAAAGGTGGAATTCTCTGGCCCTGAGATGGATCCTCAGTGATTTATCCCTGCATACATTATTAATCCAGGTAAATTCCCTCCTCCTACTTTTGGAGTAGTGTTTCAATCTCCCCATCACCAAACACTTTATCACTGGAACATTAGTCTGTCTCATTAAAATCCCCATTTAAGAGCTTTCCCTAGTTCCTTAAAATTAGTTGCTGGAAGACTACCCTCGCTGACAAGTAGCCAATCAGTTGAAGTGTGTTGAGTTTTCCTACGCTCGAAGGCCTAATCTTCCTTGCTCTGTGAGATTTCTTGTGTCAACGTGTGCAAAGCGCAACCTGAATTGAACTCAAGAGCCACGTCATTGGCTCATTCCCAATCTCACCCCCTCTTCCGCAACAGCAAGTTCATCTCAAGTTCTTGAAGAATCAAAAACTCTCAACTCCTTCATCAAGGCATCAAGATACCAAGCTTACACTCTACTATCTAGTGCTCCCTTGTTCCTCTCTTCTTTCTTCCTGTTAAGTGATCAGATCTTTGTTCTGCTGTTTGGTATTTCTCATCTTCCTTCTTTCTCAACTTCTTTTTTTTTGTGTTCTTTCTTTCTTTGATCTTTGTTTGTTGACTCAATAATTGCTTCGCCTCCACAGTCTACCTCTGAACTCCTCACCTCGCACTCTCCTCATCAAATAGTCCTCTTCACTATCAAAGTCTTGTCAGCCTCTGTGATGCCAAGAATGTAATTCTTTTAGCTACACAAGGTGATGAAAAGTTTGTGGAAGGT